CTAGATTGATAAAAAAGAAATTTGCAAATCTACTCATTTCGTTTTTTTCTATGCTCTACATTTTATTTTATATACTTCTACCATTCCTACTCATTGTCTACTTTGGATACATTTGATCAATCCATAGTGTTAATTGATTTTATATTATTTTTGATATTATTGCTGATAAATGGAAAGCTGATCTTTTTTGTGATTATTAGGCTTGTTTTAGCTAAAAATAGCTATTTTAATTTCTTTTTTGGCAAAGTTTTAGCTTTCATCTATAACTTCTTTTAACTTAAGGTCCGGGCTACGGTGAATACAACAAGCTTGATTTCCAGCTTGCGGAAATAAAATCACCAAGACTATAAAATTTACATTTTATCATTTTAAATGGTATTTCCATTTTCCATTCACTCAATTAACTTCCCTTTGATATACCTTATCGGTGAAATGTTTGTTTTTAGGAACTTGATCCAATGCCAATTTGGCGTTTGGTTCCACTGGGCCCAGGCCCTTCTACTCGCTTACTATTTCGTCGTGAGCGCTCTGAACCTAACAGCCCCCAACCTCACACTCCTTTCCCGCCTTTGCGATCTGCGCGGCTGCCATATGCCATTAGTGCTCCTAACTCACCTGTGCATCATCTACCGCCTATTTCATTAACTTCCCAACCATCCGAAATGAATCGCTTGGCAGTTAATGTCCTTCCCATGGATTCTCTCAAAGCCTCACCTAAGCTTTCTGAGTATCTCGGCAAGCCACGAATTATAGAATCTTGCTTTAAAAATGTTGAATCTGATAAAAAACGTCGAAGTAAAGATATTAATGTTCCTCGAATGGCTCATTCAATTTTATCCTCTCGGTCTACTCTACTCCAAGATGGAATCGTATCCTCCGCTTCGGACCTGGCAATAGAAATTCCAAATCATACTATCTCTGCCTCTGAAGAGTCATTAGCCTGCTCTTCTATTAGTAAATCAACATCACAGAGACAACCCTATTCTTTTCTACGCTGCGTTGATTCTGTACATGCCCCAGAATCTCAGACCACATGCACCTCGACACCAATCCATCCTACAGCCTGCCTTACTGAATCTTCTTCGACCATTTCAGCCTTTCCTCGTCCTGCTCTGCCACATCTTAAAGCTAAGCGTCGCCTAAATTTGGGTTCGTCAATTGACCATTCGCGCCTCAAGTCTGGTTATACCTCTCCTAACGGCAGTGAGCATGAAGTCAAGTCATCGCAACTGTATTCACCGCGTCAGGACACACCAAATACAGATGCTTGTCGAATTGGATGCTCTACATCTAGCAGCCAAAGCACACTGCCGATGCAATCTTTTCATAAGCAAGTGGGTAATCCTGAATCGTCCGAACTATCTTCTTCAGAGGTGAGCTTTTTCTAATCTGGTTTTTATACTGGCTCTTTATTTGGAAATATAGTGACTTCGCATGATAGAATGGGCTAAACAAATGTGAACAGCTATTTGCTTGTATTAAACACCTACTTTTATAATCAAATCTGCCCTTTGGCATTACTTTGGAAAGGATTATTTTCTCATTGTTTTTATGTCACTTCCTCAGTAATTCGCCTGGCCTTTTTAGAGCTTACAGGATGGTCGCCTTAGGAACCTGGTAATGTGGTTGCCCCTATTAGATATCTTCTTTAATA